GCACCCCGTTTTGTAATGGCTCACAGGATTGTTGCAGGGTGTCCGTTGCTAGGGACACGTCAGTCTCCAGGACATGCCCCTGAGGGGTCCTTGTTTCAGTGCCAGACCCAGCTCCAGAGCTCAGGACCCTGTGAGCCTGCTCTGGAGCTGAGAAGCAGGGGTGTTCCTGAGTTAGACGCTCGGTTCTGTGGCAGAGTAATCAGGAACCCCTGTGCCCCAGGAGGTACTGTAGGAGGCAAAGGAAGCTCTAGAACTGGGTGTCCCCCAGCATCCAGTGATAAGTAAGAACAGGTCCAGTCCTGCTTTACCCTAGGACTAAGGCTGGCTTGGCTGAGTTTTACTGTTGCCTTTCTACTTTGGTCATTTCTAGAATACTCGCTGATGAGGGAGATCCTTTTTGGTAGAATGATGGTCTGTGACTGGCAGGGCAGCCTTCGAAGGCCGATAGGAATTGGGCAGTTCAAACACAACAAAAAGAAAAGTTCCTGTTCGCAACTGGCTGATCCTTCTCTCCATTTGTTTTCCCGCGATAGCCAATTCCACGACTCTTCTTTGCCGGAGAGCACACGATCCGGAATTACCCAGCCACCGTCCACGGCGCTCTGCTGAGCGGGCTGCGGGAAGCAGGAAGGATTGCAGACCAGTTCCTGGGGGCCATGTACACTCTGCCGCGCCAGGCCACACCAGGCGTCCCCGCACAGCAGTCCCCAAGCATGTGAGACCGATGGGTTCTGAGGGAAGCAGACACTGTGAGTCTTCTGCCGTGAGAGCAGAGCTCTTGGAGCAATACTGGATCCCACTAAGGAACTCATGATGCCAGGTGGCCAAGGTGGTGGCCTCCTTTGAGTGACTTAGAGCTAGAGGGGCAGTTGTCCGTTTGTCTGGAATTCGGTGTTCTTCCTCAAGACTGAGGTAAGCAAGCGTCGTGAGAGGACATCGTAGTCTCTTCGTGTGTGGTGGTTTTTTATATTTTAAAAATAAAGCTTCATATAAAATTCTTTCTCGTTGTTTCCCCTTTAGATTTATATAACGGGTGCTGTGCCTTTAGAAATGCCAGTTTTCTCCATGTTTAAATACGGAGGATGTTTATATAAAGGCAACAGATGGTTTGGCCAGGTCTGAAGGCAGGGTTGAGGGGAGCCCCGCAGAAGCAAAGGGCTTTGTGATCCTTGGAACTAGGGCATTCCCCATTGGGACTGTGGGGTCACTACGCCAAGAGTGTGAAGCTACAGGTCAAGCCTAAGGAATCAGAGGAGACTCTGAATTTTTAAAATAAAACAGGGCACAGAGTTTGGGTGGATCTTTGAGAGACCATTCCGGCTTTACTCCCCAGGTTCCCTCCATGGGTCTGTGCTAACTTTCCACTCTTGTCCAACACACTGGCATAGAAGTTTTAGGACGTGTTACGCAAGCAGATCAAGGGTTTAGATGACTTAGCTATCGTTGTCAGTCCCCTGTCGCTGCTGTTAGCAGTGGACCACAGCAGGCGCTGAGGGAAGATTCCATTTCCTTGCCTTTTTAGCTTCTTTGCGGCCCCTTCCTCCCTCTTCAGAGCACATCACTCCAGTTCCTGCTTCGCTTGTTCCACAGTCCTGTCTCCCTCGTACAAGGATACTTGTGATTTCACGTAAGGCCCACCCAGATCATCTCCCCATTTCAAAATCCTTACTCATGTCTGCGAAGTCCCTTTTGTCATACAAGGGAACAGTAACTGTTCCTTCTCAAGGGCTCCTAACACTGTTACTACAAACGCACGTACGTTATCTGTTTGCTTTTACTTGTGTCAGTTCTTCCTTATAATTAGCCTAAATGAGGTTTATTCTTAGTAAGATTTGAGGGTTGCTACACGGGTGGGCTAACGATAGGCTAAAGATGGGGCTAAAGGGGGCTTCCCTTCGTCTTCGAGTGACAGCGGCAGGGGAATCTGTACTCCAGGACCAGGGCGAGTGGTGGAAAGTGTATAGACTTTGACCTACGACCTGTGTTTAAAACAAGGCACGGCTCTGCCACTCACACTGTTACCTCAGGTGGGTTGTCCAGCGTTAGGTGCTTTAAAACCTTTGGTTTTTAAATAAATGGCATAGGCACCTTGAGACAGAGGACCGTTCCACAGGAGGACAGACAAGCCTAAAACTAAGAATCCCAGCAGCTGTTTGCTGTGTGTCAGGCCATTATGTGGGTGCTAGACGCGTCCTCTTCCAAGCCCCAGCATGTCACCTGTCCTTGCAGCATCACTGATTAGTTGGTTTATCAAATACAGTGAGATACACTAGCTGTGCCAATGCCCAGACAACAGCTGTACTCAGGTGACGACAAAAATGGCACCAGGGACTCACACACGAGCACATGGAAACTAGGGAGCTTTATTGGTTACATATCGTGCCGCAGAGCCAACAGCAGAGCCAGCAGCCAGCATTCGAGCCCGAGGATACGTGCAGACAGGCAGCTTCCACTATACACATGCACCCAAGGCGCCCTGAGTCCCTGCTCATGGCTTCGCCCTGGTTTCCAGCAACAGAGTCCGGCCTCCTTGGTCCCAGGCTTGGAGCAGGAATGTAGAAGCTGCTGCACCTAGACTCCAAGGGGCAGGGCTGAGGCCAGAGCGCCTGCCGAAACGAGCGGAGGGACTCGTGGACTGAGAGACGGAGGCCCCCCCAGCAGAGGGGTCTCTGATGCATCAACAGTTCTGTGAGGGCTACTCTCCCAGCCCTCCCAATCTTTAAAATACAAAAAAATAGACTTTATTCTCTTAAAAATACATTCCTTTCAGTACATGTTCTGAGCTGTGAAGCAGCAGGAAAATAGGGCCCCTTTCCTATGATCTTGGCTGTGAGGCTTTGAGGAGAACGCTGGGCCCCACCGGGGGTTGTCAAAAGATAATCCCTAAAAGCAGCTCTTCCCAAGCACTCCTGTCAGAGTAACAACAAATCCCACATCCACAGAGGCTCTGGGTCCCTGTTCCTTACTGGGCAGGGGTAGCACTTGCCACTGACCCACCACACACAGAGCACTAATGCTGCCCCAGGATCCCAGGTCCTAGACAACAGAGGAGGGGGAGGATTTATGTGCGGACTTGTCGGTGACCGAGGCCGGAGTGGCGGGCCTCGCTGCAGATCCCCTTCAGCCCGCGCTGGCTCACGGTCAGGCTAAAGCAGAAACAGCCATGGCTTCCTCGCCTGCCACCCCTACAGCTTCCTCGGGTGGTTTTAGTGCCAGAGTGGTGAGAGCGCGGCCTCTGGCGTCCAGCCACCTCGCATACTTTCTCCAACCGCGCAGCTCTGAGCACAGGCGCCCCGGGACCCCTCCCGCAGCCAGCCGCCGGCCGGCGAGAGCTGCAGTTAGAGGCGCGCTGCGGCGGTGGCGTGTCCTGAGAGTGGGCCTGTGGGTCGGGACAGCAGGGATGTTCGGTTGACCGGACAGCTATTTAATTTACTAGGTCTCCCCTGTTTGGTGAAAGTTTCCTCCAGGACCCCTGACCGTGAGGTCCAGATGGTCACACACAGGTTGCTTTCCAGAAAGGGGCCTTTGAACTTTGGAATTTGAGAGCCAGCCTTGCCAGCCACTTGAAACCCAGAGGAACCGAGCCTCCAGCCTTCGTTTGCTATTATAAATGGTATCGTCTGCAATGCTGAGGACACTTAAAAATAAAATCTATTTTATAACGGTTCTAGAAAGTATGCAGAGTAAGGAAACACAGTATTTATCCTGAAATACTCGTTACAATCAAACCCTATTGCACTCAGATTTTTAAGACAGCAGCCCCCAGCAAGAGGGCAGCACGGCTGTCCCTCTTCCACAGAGCACTCTGGGGGGAGTGGCAGGTGCTGATGCTGCTGCAATGTGGAAAGATCCAGACTTTGGCACCAGGAGCTACAGCACCAGAATCCAGGGCTCCAATGCCCAAAGATGAGAATTATTGGCGACATCTCTGTAGGCATGGCTTGGCACCCTTTTGTTTCCACCAGCAGAGAGAGGCCGCAGAATTCGTTTCCTGTAACCTCCGCTGACCACCGCAGAGGTCCGTCTCCTTCGGACTCTCAAGGTTGCCAGCCAGTGAAGAGGAACGGCTGGGAGGCTGCAGGTGAGAGGTTGCAACCTCGGGTAAGCTAGTTTCTAGCCAGTGACCCAGGAGCAGCAGCAGGAAGAGGTTCTGAAAAGAGCATCTTGAACTGAGCGTGTGAGGCAGCACAGTGGAGAGAGAAGCTACACGGCAATGCCCTTCGGCTGGCAACTCCAGAAAACGGAAGTCGGTGCACAACTTTCCTGCTTCTGAAAGGAAGCTAGGTGTGCCCCGCGCCGTCGCCAGGGTCGCCAGGTCTGATGGCAGACACGGGCGTGACGAGCGCTGGTTCCCACCGAGTGCAGGCCGGGAAGATGCTCGCAAAGCCAGCAACACGAGATGGCCGACGGGGGTCCAGAAAGCCAGGGAGCGCTGGGAGTCACGTGGGCACAGAAGCCATCTGATCCCATCTGATCCAGACCTCCGCTCACAGACCAGAAGAACGAGGCCAGTGGAGCTTCGCGGAGTCCATCCGCATGATACTAAAACGTGGAAAGAACAAGGCCCACGAAAACATGGCAGGAGAGAAGACACCTTCCCTGAACCCATCTGGATCTACCTTCCAGAAGCAGAGTGAGCCCCACAGGACAGTGTAAACAGAATCATCTCAGAATGCCAGACTTAGGACCCTTAGAGAACATTTCAGAGAATTCATTTTACAGATAAGGAAACTGAGGCCCCAAGAGGACAGTGACTGCCCAAAGTCACACAGCAACACAGTACAAAGCCATGAAGAAAACTCCGCTTTCCTGACTGCTAGCTATGCTCTTTCCCTAGGAAGGAACAGTGTCTGCGTCATTACAAGCAGCCTCCGAAAAGGGCTCCCTTCTTCGAACTGAGCGTTACACAAAAAGCCGTGCCAAGAATATATGGTTCTTTGTAACTGCCGCGCCCCCCCCCCCCCATGACTGGTATAAGAAAACTAGTCAATTGTTTATTTGTGTGGCTTCCTGAAAGCTTTGCTGCATTTTGCACTGTACAAACCTGGGGCCCTCGATAGGCATTTAGTATGACCTGTCCTCCAGTGAAGTCCTAACGAGTTTGCAGAAGCCAAGGGCCCGCTTCTGCAGGAACGCCTCAGCCTGGTAAAGTGCAACACCTCCTCCCCGGGGCGCGAAGGAAGAGGAACGAGTCCATGCCGCTCATGGAAATATTGCTTTGTGGAGTGACGGGAGACGCTTCTCCCTGCCCACTTTCCCCCTTGCTGGGCACTTCTAGAAGGCAGAGTACACTGGGTCAGGCCCAGTTTAGTTCCGGAATATTCTGAAGGGTGGAAATGACGGAGTTGGCCTGAAGTCTCCAGCCGAGGGAGAGGGGCGGGCAGTGCCAGCAGCATTATTGGTGCCCAGGAAAGGAGATGCGTGAGGCTTGTGCGCTTCCAGGTGCCTTTGGAAGGTGAGCAGAGAGCCAGGGGAGGGGGAGGGATGACATCATTCCGATAGGTGGTACCCGTGTGTTCCGCCCCGGGGGGCCGCGTCCGAGAAGCGTCAGCCTGAAGGGTGCTCCCACAGTCCCTTAGAGGCAGCACAGGCCTCTTCTGCTGTCCAAGTCTGAGGAACGCCAAAGGGGAGAGGAGCGGGTGTCCCCCCGCCCCATGGAGCCGACGGCTGTGGAGTCTCAGCGGGTACTCGGGCCCCGAGAGCAGACAAGGAGTGAACGGGGTGCAGTGAGGAGACTAAGAAACTAGCCACGCTGAAGGGGCGCCCCCTGCCCCACCGAGGAGCAGGGAAGGGCCTTCGGCTGCTGTTGTGTGGTGAGGATACGAGGGCTTTCTATAGCTTTCCCCGTCTGGGGGCCAGCGGGACCTACGCGACCTGGGGACAGGGACGAGGAGAGAGGACTCATGCATCGGGGAAGGCTGGGCCTGCGTGACTTAGGTCCAGCTTGTAGTTTCGGAGCCCTCTGGCCAGCTGGCAGAACGACCTGAGCCACAGCCAGGCCTGCCGTCGTCTCCCAGCCAAGGCCTGGCGTCCAGCCGGGTTAACGGGCCTCGCATCCTTCGGAGGGCAGGAAGGCAGGAGGGTGGAGAAGCGGGAGCCCAGGGGACAGCAGACCTCACCCAGCCGGCTCAGTTGTCCTCGGCGCAGGGCCGGGCTGGCCGTAACCGCTCCTCGGCCCGGGCTCGCCCTGATTCTGACAGCCCCGGCTTCGCAGGCAGCTCACACCGCTCCAGGGGGTTGTGCGGTCGCCTGTGGAAACCGGGTGTGCAGTCGTCCCCGTCCTCCTGTGCCAAAAAGGACAGAAGTGAGCTGTGGAGGACAACAGCAAGTGACAAGACATGCTCATTCCCTTCCCCAGGGATCCTCTCCAGCCCGGCAGAGTGTAGACAGACCACGGGACGGGCCAATTTAAACATTCCTTGGAAACGAGGGGAACCCACACCCCTCCCCCCGGGCTGCTGGGGCTTGTAGGGTAGGACAGGGTCTGGGATGGGGGCACGGGGCCAGCCCCAGAAGCAGGGGCCCGGCACGCCTTGCGCTCTGCATGTGCAGGCTGCGTGCTGCTGGGGGTGAGCCAAGTCCCAGCTTGGGGAGCAAGGAAGTACACTGGAAAGGAAGCCAGGTCAGGCTCCTCCTACTTCCCACCCACAAACTACCAAAAAGCCAGAGCCCTTCCCTTTCAGGTCCTCATCCTCTCTCAGATATCCAAAGCTTCGGGGACCTAAACACACTCCCCCCCCACCCGCCCCTTTCACTCTTCTTGTACCAAAAATTCTGCCTTTTCAATGTTCTCATTGGTCCTTCGAGCAAATGCAGATCGAAGAACTCAAGTATGAGTGAGCAAGTTTCAAGTTGGCAGGGTAGAAAGTGCGTGATTCAGAAACAGGAATCTTCGATTCACATCTTAGCTCTTCCAGTAATTCACTCAGGCGGCCTTAGGTAAGGCACTTTGGGTCTCTGACCCTCCATTTCTAGATCTAAAAAATGGGGCCAATACCTGCCCACAGAGCTCTTGGAGAGACTGAGACGGTGTGGACGTGCGCTGTCAGACGCTGAGTGCCCTGTGAGGAGTTACAGGGCATTTCGAGTTAACGCACCATCACGTGCCTTCTAAAAAGGAAACAACATCTGCGTCCAAAACGTCCTGCATCCTCGCAGGCTCCGCATCAAGACACTCGCAGAGGCCACCCCTTCACTGCCCTGACGCTCCGACCCTCACATGAGGAGGCGGTTGTGATTTCTCGCTCCTGGAATGAGCCTACTGTACCAGCCCTGCCCTCAAGACGGAGGATACGATGACTTAGACGAGTGTCTGGGGCAAAAGAGAGTGACCCGTGGGCACAACGCGTGTCAGCGGGGCCCAGGAAAAGCCCTCGCTCTCAACCCGCGTGCCAGCAGCCGGCCGAGCTCCGTTGGGGAGACCCTCTCCCCGGCTCTCCTCTCTGGCTGCGGCTTCCTGGGCTTCGAGGTGCTGCTTTGTGGGGCTTTAAGGGGAGTTCCTTTGGCTACTCTGGCAAACCCAGGGGATGGAGGCCAGATCTCTTCCTCTTGTGTGGCCTTCATATACAGAAGACACAAACTGGGAAAAGGGTTTGGGAGACTCAAGCTGCTCCGTGCCGAAATACCACCTTCAACGTACTTCCTCCTTCTTCAAGGACAAACCCACCCGATTCTCAGCAGTTCTCTGAGCAACCCAGCTCTCCCCGGTACTTCCCAGCCCCATAATCCTGAGTCACATTGGCCAGAGAAAAGGAAAGTGCAAGGAGGGCAGGGAGGGGGAAAGCGGGGGCTCACCGTGCCTGCCGCGTGGTTCCAGGCTGCCCCGGCGGCAGCATTTCCCACCCGATTCCGACGACTGAGTACCTCGGACACGGTGAGGCTACTCTGGGTCCTTCTGGAGGCGAGCTCGGGGGCGTCCCCTGAACTTCCTGCCCTTTGAGTGCCCGGCTCACAGACGTATGACCTGGGCTGTCCGAGGTCCGAGCAGTCCGTGGCGGCCCTCTGGGTGTAGGCATTGGCAGCTTCCACGTTTCTCCCTACTCGGGCTGGGGGGTCCTCTGAGGAGTTCAAGTCCCGCCTGCTCTTCCAGGCGTTGCGCACCGTGACGTGTCTGGCGTCCGCAGAGCCCACTTCGGAAGGGGCGCTATGGCTTTTCCACCTGATTGTCTCCGCTGGGGGTGTGTGGCTGTTTCTCTCCGAGGGATCCGACGGCTTGATTATAATGCTGCTCCGAGACACCACGGTTTCCGGCCTGTTCTTCGGGGGCCCATCTGCCGTCCTTTCAGCTTCCGTGAACTGCAGGGCGATGTCATGTTTGTGAATGGAGAGCTCGAAGGGGGAGCTGACGTGGTTGCTGACCGCCGTGAGCTCTGCCGGCCCAACCTGGATGTTGCTGGTGGACGTGTGCCTCTCCCGGGGGGCCTCGCCCGGGCTGGATCGAGGGCTGCTGCTGTCAGAGGGATAAATAGTGATGCTGCTCGTCACCTTGTTGGGGCCTGGTTTGGAGGTGGATTTCTGCTTCTCCGTGGCAGCCTCGGTTCCAGATCCTCCCATAATTTTTTTCACGTCCTTATCAATGATGACGGGTTTGATGATGGCTCTGGACCGCAAGGCCTCTCTGGGGCTGAAGGGCCGTTGGCTTTTGACCCCAGCACCGTTGGCATCTGGGAACTCGACGGCATTGGTGGAGGCTCTGACAGCCTTCCCAGATTCATTTTCTGTCCCGACATCTTTATCATTCTCAAACAGGGAGGTTCTAAGTCCTCCTCGCGATTTGGCTTTTTCCCTCGAGCTGGGCTGGTGTTTGGGCTCCGGCTCCGGAGTGATGGTTGTGTTTACCAACTTGGCAGTAACCAGAGAGGCCGCATCCCCATCATCATCGGAGTCCGCCTTCTCTCTGCCACCGGATTTGATGACTCGGCACCTCAGGGCCTCGTGCTGACTGCTGTCTTCCATCACAACGGCTACGGGTTGATCGATGCCTTCTTTATTTGGGGTTGAAAAGCTCTGAAGGATGTTCTCTTGGCTTCTGGAGCTATAGGGATATTTTGATAAGAGCGGAGGCTTAGAATTTGGGGAACTGCTATCAGCCTCTGGGCCACCGGCAGCCTTTTTGCCCTTGCAGAGCCCTTCTGAGGAAGATCTCCGAGACGAGGCCAGGGATCCAATCCCCTTAGGACTGCCGCAGTCTGCAGCCTGATTTAACGGACTTCCGTTGCCGGGTACCTGCCCCCTCTTGCCAAAGGGGGCCTCCATGGAGGTGTCAGAAGCCTTGTCACCTCTACCCGGTACGTCACTGGGAACAGACCCATGGGTGGTATTGTCACTAAACGTTCGTGTTGTCTTCTCCACTTTTCCCTTCAACCCACTCTCCGCTCCTGGCTTGGGAGCGCCCTTCCAAACCTTGCTGTGCTCCTGCGCCGCGGGCGGGTAGCGGCTCAGCACTGACGGCTGCTCCCTGGCCTTCCTGCCTTCACTCTGAGAAGAGCCCGACGCGTATCGCTCTTCTGTCCTCCTCGTCTCCTGAGTCCCACTGTCCGCAGCCACCCCCGCGTTGGAAGCTTTGGCGGCCCTCCTGTTGGTGAAACTAGGAGAGGAGACCTGCCTGTTGCCCAGAGAATAGTTGTCGTTGAGAGCAAACTCCCTGTTGCGATGCCTCTCCCGCTTGTGCTGAGGGGACAGTTCCCGGGCCGTGTGCTTGGACACAGGTGCCTCAGTCCCGTGGCCTCTCAACTTAGTCCTCTCGTGCCTGCCTTTGCCGGACAGGAAAGCCTCGTCCCCTTCCACCTCCCCGTTCTCTAACTCTTTCTGTTTCTTGATTTGTAGCTTTATCTCCTCCAGCTGGCTGGCCAAGAGTTTGTTCTTATTTTGTTCACTTAGGTAATTATCCTGAAGATCATTATTTTTGGCCCTCATTTTCTTAAGCTCTTCTTCCAAAAATTCAAAATGTTTGATCTGTGTCTTAAGTTTCTCAATCTCTTGGTTAAGGTCTTTCACTTTGTTGTCTTCCTGATTTCGGTTCTTCTCGTTTTCGGATTTGTTTCTGGTTTCGTTCTCTACCTGCTTTAGATAGTCCAGAGCGCCCTTCCTCCTTGATTCTTTGCACGGCAGCGTGGAGCAGATCCCGTCCTCAATCCGCAGGTCGTTCCTTTCCAGGAGATTAGAAGCGTTCCTGGTATAATCTCGGTTCATTTTTTTGTTCTGCTCCAGTTTCTGGGTGAGCTCTCTGATCAGCTTCTCGTTTTCTTTCTCCTTTTCATTCAAGTATTTTCTCTCACTCACAAAGCTCAGAGTCAATGACTTCAGCTTTTCTAACTCTGACACTAAACTCTGCTCCGTTTTATCCAGGCGGTCCTCGGAACATTCCAGTTCTTTCACTTTGACCCTGAGCATTTCCAGCTCGGAGGAGATCTTCTTGGTCAGGTTCCTCTCCTCATTCAGACTCAGACAGAGCTGGGTGCAGTCGTTCTTGCTCCTGCCGAAGGCCTCCTCCAGCTTCTCCAGCTCGGCCATTCGTTTCTGAAGCCGCTCGATCTCAGACTTCAGCCCCCGGGTGAGGTTTTCTTCCTCTTCCAGCTTCTCCCTCATCAGCCGACACAGGTCCTCCGCTCTCTTGATTTCCTCATCTTTGCCCTCGATTCTCAGCACTCGCTGGCGCAGCACTTCGATCTCCGCCAGCATGCTGGAGTTGCTGCCTTCCGCCTGAATCACCTTGTCCTGGAGGTCCAGGAGCTCATCCTCTGCTTTCTGGAGGTTTTTTGTGGCTTCCTCCAGCTCATCGAGACGGCGGCTTAGACTCTGTAACTTAAACCGCAGGTGGCGGCTGGAGGCGGTATCCTTGTAGCTTGTAAGTTCAGCCATGCCTGCCGCCAGCTGCTGCGCGCTCCGAGAGGCATCCAGTTCCACTCGAGGGGACGAGAAATGGTTACCTTTCTCTTGGTGTCCACAGCCTTCTTTGGCAGCTGAAGACCATTATCAGTCTACAGAAGGAAAAGCAGAAAGCATGTCAGGCAGCAGATCGAACATCTGTACTTCAGCCCCCCGTTGTTTTAATTCTTGTACCTAGAACATAGCAGGTGCTCAAATGTGTTGAATGAATTTTAATAATCCTGCAGGAACGACTAATTCTGAGGTGATTATCTAGTTTAATCCTAATGAAGAATGTTACCTGTGGCCGCATGGCAAAGATACAGAGGGATGCCTTATTTCTCATCTTTACCGTGTGCCACCTACATAATCCCAGGACTGTCCTTACGTTTCTGCAAATCACTAAGTGAACAGCTTCAGTTTTACTGAGTTGTAAAATGGGCATAATGATCCTTACCATATCTCTCCCCATTACTGTTCCGAGATAATGTGTAGAAACCTCTTGGTAATAAAGCAGTAAATAATCGTAAGATTATCAAGAACTATGACAGCTTCAGGGAACAAATAGATTAGTGAATGGGGCGCCTGGGAGGCTCAGTGGGTTAAGCCTCTGCCTTCGGCTCGGGTCATGATCTCAGAGATCAAGCCCCGCATCGGGCTCTCTGCTCAGCAGGGAGCCTGCTTCCCCCTCTCTCTCTGCCTGCCTCTCTGCCTACTTGTGATCTCTCTGTCAAATAAATAAAATCTTAAAAAAGAAAAAATAGATCAGTGAAAAAGAAAATCACCTCACTGACATTAGGGAGATAATAGGACCTAGGCTCTGGGAGGGGAGAAAGAAAGGGTTGTATCCCTAGAGAATTTATAATTTGGGGCGTGCCTTCACTTGAGTTCTGAGTTCAAATTTAGACTGCCTTGAGCGGTCTGGAGTCAACTTGTCCTCGCTGACAATCTGACCTAAAATGGTCTCAGCCTGGTAAAATCCCTGGGAAACCTACCGAGGTAAACAGAAATACTCTGGAGAGATACACTCTCTACCCAGGTCGCACAAGAGTTCCACAGATAAAGTCCTGCTGAACCCTGGGTTTACAAGTCTAAATTACAAGGACGGGCACCTGGGTGGCTCAGTCAGTTAAGCATCTGCCTTTGGCTCAGGTCATGATCCCAGGGACTCTGGGTCCTGGGATCAAGCCCAGCATCACACTCCCTGCTCAGTGAGGAGCCTGCTTCTCCCTCTCTCTCTGCACCCCACTTATGCTCTCTCTCTCTCTCTCTCTAGTGCTTTCTCTCAAATAAAAATCTTTAAAAAACCCACAAAAAACCATAAGGACCGCTCTTTTACTATGACTGAACATTGTTGGTATATATTTATACTAATAAGAACAAAAGTTCGTAAGATAGAGACCCTAAATTAAGCACATCCCAGTGTTTACAGTAAAAAGAAGAAAAAAAAAAAAAAAGAAGGAATCCAAACCAGATTAGAAAGAGATGGCATTAACTAAGATCAGATGATTTTAAAATTAACCAAAAAGAATCACTAGAAATGGAAAGAAACATGGCAAATTCAATGCAAATCAAGAGAGTACAGTGGTTGAGAAGAGATACAAGATTACAAAGGGCAGCATAAACTTGAAAAGATTTTGTGAAAGAAAGTCTCATGTGGAACCTGGGTGGCTCAGTTGGTTAAGCACCTGACTCTTGATTTCAGCTCAGGTCTTGATCTCAGCTTCATGAGTTCAAGCCCTCTATTCGGCTCCATCAAGCCCTCTATTCGGCTCCATGCTGGGCATTAAGCCTACTTGAAGAAGAAAGGAAGGAAAGACAAGAAAGAAAGGTTAATAGGTGGGGAATAAAATAAAGATGTCTAAAAATGAGGAAGTTTTTAATGTGCGACCCAAAAGGAAGGAATAGAGAGAATGAAGGTGATGTAATATTTGAAGAACTACCAGTATTTTCAAGAGTTGATGAAAGATAGGAAGCCGGGTGCCTGGGTGGCTCAGTGGGTTAAAGCCTCTGCCTTCAGCTCGGGTCATGGTCTCAGGGTCCTGGGATCGAGCCCCACGTCGGGTTCTCTGTTCAGCGGGGAGCCTGCCTCCCCCCCTCATCTTTGCCTGCCTCTCTGCCTACTTGTGATTTCTGTCTGTCAAATAAATAAATAAAATCTTTAAAAAAAAAAAAAAAAAAAAAAGAAAGAAAGGAAGCCTTACATTTAAGAAGTAAAGTTCCAACCAAGCAGGGTAGTAAAGTTAAATCTGCACCTAGACACGTAAGTAAGGATACAGCAGGATACCACCAAGAGAAGAGAAGTAACAAAAAGGAAAATAATCGTAACCTAGAAGAAAATACCCAGGGAAAGTATGAAAGAAGATACAATTAGAAACCCTTTCAGAACAAAAAAAAAAAAAAAACAAGGAAAATAAAAACCTAAGTGTTTATTATTAATAGACCTTCACTGAAAAAGCTATTTATGGATGTACTTCAGAGTATAGAAACTGGGGCACGTGGGCGGCTCAGTCAATTAAGTGTCATGTCGGACTCTTTATTTTGGCTCAGGTCGTGGGATCAAGCCCCACTATGGGTGCCATGCTCAAACGGGGAGTCTGCTTCTCCCTCTCTCTCAGCCCCTGCCCCTGCTCTTGGACATGTCCTCTCAAAAAAAAATCTAAAAAAAAAAAAGTGAATATAGAAATTGATCACTTAAGGCAGGCATGATATGCAAGAAGGAATGGAAAGCCAAGAGTTTTTTTTTTTTTTTAAGATTTTATTTGAGAGGGGCGCCTGGGTGGCTCAGAGGGTTAAGCCTCTGCCTTCGGCTCAGGTCATGATCTCAGGGTCCTGGGATCGAGCCCCGCATCGGGCTCTCTGCTCAGCAGGGAGCCTGCTTCTCCCTCGCTCTGCCTACTTGTGATTTCTGTCAAATAAATAAATAAAATCTTTAAAGATTTTATTTGAGAGAGACAGCACATGAGAGTGAGCAGTGGGGGGTGGGGGGAGTCAGAGGGGAAGAAGCAGACTCCCCGCTGAGCAGGGAGTCCGACCCAGGGCTGGATCCCAGGACCCTGAGATCGTGACCTGGGCTGAAGACAGACACTTAACCAAATGAGCCACCCAGGCGCTCCAGGAAAGCAAAGAAATTAACCCACACAAGCACTGGTTCAGTTAAACAGTAAACAAAAATTAACTGGGGATAGGAGGGGGTAGGGCAGGATAAAACCAAAGTGGAACTGAACTAAAATGCCAGGTAATAACATGTAAGTCATAAAGAAAGAAATCAGGATTCAAGTGTTCTTAAAAAGTTGTAGTTTGAGGGAAGAGGACAGAGTAATTATAACTAAATTTAGAACTTGTTAAGAGTAACTATTAATCATATGCCTGATAAGGCATTAGTAAGCAGAATATATATAAAGAACTCCGACAACTTAACAAAAAACAAGTAACGTGATTTAAAGATGGGCAAAGGACTTGAAAAGACATTGCTCCAAAGATAATATGGCCTACAAGCATATGAAAAAATACTCAACCTCACTGACATGAAGGAAATGCAAATCAAAATCACAATGGGAGATCACTTCATACCCATCAGGACAGCTACTATCCCAAAAACCAGTGTTGGTGAGAATATGGAGAAACTGGAATCCTTGTACACTGTTGGTGCAAAAATAAAATGGTAAAACTCCTTGGAAAACAGCATGGCAGCTCCTCAAAAGATTAAAAAAAGAATTGCCATATGACCCAGCAATTTCACTTCTGGGTAGAAGTACAAAAAAACTCAAAACAGGATCTTCAAGAGATATCTGAATGCCTGTGTTCATGAAAGCACTATTTACAATGGCAAAGAAGTGGAAGCAACCCAAAGTGTCCATCAGAGGATGGATGGAAACACAAAATGTAGCATATGCTACGGTGAAATATTCGTCTTAAAAAAGGCGATTCTGTCACCTGGTACAACCCGGATCAAGCCTGAGGACACTGTGCTAAGTGAAACAATTCAATCACAAAAGACAAATACTGTATGATTTCACTCATGACGTACCTAGAATATTCCAGTTCACATAAACACAGCAGAATGGTAATTGCCATAGGCTGGGGGAGGTGGAAATGGGACTGTTATTTAACGAGTATGGAATTTCAGTCATGCAAGATAAAAAATGTTCCGGAGGGGAAAAAAAAAAAAAAAAAAAAAATGTTCCGGAGATTGGTCTGTACCACAATGTGAATACATACTTAACACTACTGAATTGTAAATGGTGAATATGATAGATTTTATGTTATGCATTTTTGCCACAATAAAAAAAAAAAACCATCTTAAGGCAGTAAAAAGCATAGAGAAGGTAGGGCAGACCTCCAGTTTCTAGCCCAGCATGTAAGGAAGTCATCACTGTGTCTTAACATATAAAAAGCGGAACAGACTGAAAATTCACAACTCTTCTTAGATCCATGAGAGAAATGAGGTCACAAAAACCACTGATCCAAAACTCAGACAAGTAGACGCAGGGAGTCATAATTTAACACAACAGAAATTCACGAGTGCCCCCGGGAACTGGCACGAGAGCTGGCAAACCTGAACTACAACTGACAACTTGCTGGAAGCTCAGTGAGGACAGTTCCGCGAGCTAAGAGCAAGACGGAGTCTCAGTCTTGAGGGGAATGCAGCACAGCCCACTTTATGAGCTTTACCTCCAGAAGCCGTACAAGGCTCTCTCAGTGAGGATGAGAGGAAACTCCCTCGTGCACCCAGCAGGGGAGGATTAAAACAAGCATTTTGAAACCAGAGCCTGGGCAAAAGGAAATACCCAACTCCAGAAATACTCAACTCTGGCTCCCTCTAGCTATCCTGTACCACCTATGGGGCATGAGAGTTTGAGGGGAGAAGGGGAGAGGACCATCAGTAAAGGCCTACTTACCTCAGTCGTGTTTATCCAGGACATCATGTCCTGCTTTCGTCAAAAAATTACAAGGCATACTAAACGGCAAAAGACACGGTTTGAAGAAACACAGCAAGCATGAGAACCAGACTCAGATATGGCAGAGATTTTGGAATTACCAAAAATTTAAAACAATGATTAATACACCAAGGGCTCTAATGGAAAAAGTAGACCTCATACAAGAACAGAAA